AGATATTGTTCCTCCCACAGACCCATGGACAAGTTGGCATTGCTGGGTGCAAAAATGGCTTCCATGGCTGTGCCATAGCTTTGTAGGAAGAATTCACCATTAAATTCAAAATAGTTATGTGTAAGATAGAACTCTCCATGATGAAATTGATCTGTCTGTGGTTAAGTAGGAGGTCATGGGTCAAAAAGTGTTGCACAGCCCACAGTCCAACTTCATGGGGTATGGATGTGTATAGAGAATTAACATCAAGGGACAACCATGAATATGTGTGTTCCCATGAGTAGGAATTTAAACTGTTCCTAAACCCAGGATCCTGAAATCACTATATCTGGTTTCCCATGGTACACAGAACATGAAAATGCAATTATTGTAGTACATATAAACTGCTAAATACCTTTTCTCATCAGCAGTTACAACAGTCTTGTAATTTCTATCAGTGTCCAGCTGAGCCCTGGTTAAAGCTTGTAGGAGGAGTTTTCATCTACCTCTCACTGTCCTATGGGATTGAATAACCCCCCACCCTCTGTCTGGACAGTGCTCATTGGCCCTGTGCTGATCACATGCACTCTCCCAAGAAAAAGAAACCAGTACACACCAAACTGAGCATGTGCCGAGTGTCCCTGAGGCCGTGTTCTATCAGAAGATGAAATGGAGACTGCGGAAGAAGGGGAGGATCAGAGAAGACAGGCTCAAACATGGAACACTTGTATTGAGCAGATGGATGCCATCTTGAATGTATGAAAGATCTTGAGCTAGCAGCTGCAAAAAATAATCCATGGAATCATATGGAACAGAGGCTAGTGATAGTCTCCATAGTGGTGACTATGGGGCATCCTGGTGGATGGGTAGAGACTTTATGGACTTTGGGTAAGTGATAGAAATAGGGTCTCTTATAATACTTTTTTTTTTTTTTAAAAGTGGATTCTTTTTTATGGAAGATTCCTTCAGTGAGGGCTCTATCAATCAGGGTATATGCTTCTTTTGGAAACTGTGTTAAAGAGTTACTGTTTAGTTTGCGATACGTCTTGGTATCTGCTAGTAGTCGGGTGGACTGTTTAAAGGTACTCTGACTTGTCTTGGACTACTATGCCCCCTCCCTTGTCTGCTGGTTTGATAATTAAGTTGGAGGAAAGGGAGCGAAGAGCCTGCAGCTAGGAGGGATAAGGTTGGATGACCCAGGGGGAATGTTTTGTATTTTGTTATACATCTGCCTAAAACCCTTATGGACCACCTGATAAAAACTTTGTAAATATGGGCCTTTTATGTAAGTTGGGTTGAATACTGATATTGGACAAACATTTGTATGTTGTATCGGTGGGGAAGTAGGTAAGTGTTGTGTGAGTAAACTAAAGTATTTCTCATCATCATCTCCTGTGTATACTATAATATCAATGTGTAGCACTGACAATTGATATTATAGTGTTTTGTTTTGGTGGAGACAGGGGGTTTGCCACGTTGTGCTAGCTGCTTTACTTTTTCCTTTTTTTGTCTTGCACTCACCATTTATTCTTTGATTATCTCCTGTGTATAGCTGTTCCAGATGAGATAAAGCAATGGGGTCTGATGATGAGGTGTCTGGAAATGGGCTGATGGGGGAATTATCTGGGCTGACTTTTATACGAGAAAGATTGTTTTTTTTCCCTGAATACTGAAATATCATTTCACTGTCTGATTTTGAATAAATCTGTTCAGATCGACGAATAGTGTAAAGAGATTTGGGGCCACTGAGAGGGCATAGGTTAGGCCACGACTAAGTAGGGAAACTTCAGAGCTAGATAGGGTGTGGATAGATGAGCGGAAAATTTTTACTGTCTGCGGATTTTCCCTTTTCTTGTGAAGTGTACGGACTCTCCCTTTTCTGTGTGTTTTCTTTTTGTGGCAGTTAGGGGGGTTAGGACTAAAAAAAGCTCAAGATGTTTGGGTGTCTAAATTAGTTTCTGGGTGTCCCATTTAGGCAATGGTGGGACACAGTGAATGGTAAAGTCTTGGGTGGACTGCTGGGAGGCATCTAAGGTTGCTGTTGAACTGATGAAGGTACTAGATGGGGGGGTTATGTCAGTAGTGATGGATGATCTGCGAGAGAGGTTAATATCTGGGTTAATATTTCGATCACTTGTTGTCTGAATGTATATTGTATGGGAGGTCCTTCTGGATTAGTATCCATATGTTTGGGAGGTGTTTTTTTTACATATTCGGACATGACAGCGTTTAGCTGAGGAATTTGGGGATGACCGGAAGGAAAAGATAAAGGCGTGTGAGGTGGTTGGTTATTATTAACTTGGAAACATGGTGGCTGATCTTTTAGTAGAGGGGGAGGCATGTCTCCTAGGGGCTAAATGCTTGGGGGAGATTTTCGGTGACGGGCCATTAGGGGGACTGGTTGGGGCAGTGTGGACACGTTTTCTTTTCCAACAATAGATGCAGTTGGAATTGTAACAGCAAATCTTCAGAACAACTTAAGGTTTGGGTCATCAAGACCATTCCCCCCCACCTTCCTACAGATGGGAGATTCAGATGTCTCAGTGCTAGAGAGATGTTTTGGTTCTATACATTAGATACCTTAGTTCCTGGAGGCCTCAACAAGGAATTGAAGATTCACACAGTTTTATAACATCACTACAATATATCCTGGTTGAACACATCCCCCCATATAACACCATGTACCATAGGCATTCCCACGCACATCTCCATGTCCCTTTATTGATTACAATTATTTTCTCATTTCTTTCATATTTCTCCATCATACATTACCTTCAACTATAGTACCATATACTTACCATAAGCCGGTCTCAATACCCATAAGTTATTATTACTATAGTCTGTATCCATTAATCATTAATTATTTTTATTATTATTTGTTTTTGTTTCCACAATCCGACACATATCTCCATCACTATTGTTACTATGTATATATTCTCATGATGTCATTTACACATCTACACATGTACCCATTTATTACCCTCATAATAATACTACTTTTGTTAATTTGTTTTATACAGGACCCTTATGGTCTTCTTTTATTTATGAGAAACAAACACCAGTTTGTAAGTTAATTGTTTTTATAACAATTTTATAGCCTTTTATAGAGTTTATGTTTAGTCTCATTTATCCGCAAATGTTAAGCTCATCCAGAGAATACATCGCTACATTAGGGTGACCTCTCTAGTAGATTATTTCAACATTGCGGCATGTACCTATCAGTCCATATAAACCTCTTCCAAGATGGTTCCCCACCTGATGAAGGTGCACGTATGCTCTGAACGTGTGCCATGTCCACCGCCACGTACCTGACGTGCTTTGTCACACAAATGAAGGTCCTGCTTCTTTTGGGGCATCAATCTTCATGCAATTTTTAAAATTGCACTGCAAAATAGTGGCAAAATAGAGGCAGGAGACCTGTCAGATGACAGGGGCCAGTGTCGGGTGCAGAGCTTTTTTTTTTTTTTTTTTTTTTTTTTTGCCGTTCATTGTGATTGACATTGGATTTACTTTTGGGGGTATTGTTTTTATTTTTTTTATAAGGGACTTACAAAAAAACTGTCTCTGTGTCTTTATTTATTTTTTATATTATTTTCGTGAATTAGTACCCCATACTCATTCGCATGGGGGGGGGGATCTGGACTCCAACAGCCACTGCCCAAAGCAGCCCCCCATGTTAAGGGCATGTGACTGGGGGGCGGCGAAGACACACGCTTACACCCCCCCCCCCCCCACCTGGCCTGTCAGGCTGCATGCTCGGAGGGTCTGGTATGGATTTTGTGGGGGACCCATGCTGTTTTTTAAAATTAATTTTAGCATGGGGCTCCCTTTAAAAGCCATACCAGCCCCGAAGGGCCTAGTATGGATTGGGAGGGGGACCCCCACACATTTTCTTTTTTTTATTTTAATGCTGGTATTCTTATGTTTACATTCAGCTGTCAGAGGGGAATCCCACTGACAGCTGATGAGCCGACACAGTGGCCAGCCCACTCCTTAACAACAGAATAGAACTGTACAAACAAGTTGCGAACTGAGACTTCCCAATTCACATCAGAACTGTATCTAAATCGCAGCTAAACAACTACTTTCGAAATTCGCACTGAAATGGACCTGAAAAATCACACCGCACATGTGTGAACCGGAGCTTACATTTTCTTATTTGACCCCTAGTAAAGGAGGCGATTGATGCCAATTGGTTGGCAAGAAGGAAATACAGAATGCTCTATAGTTAGATAGTTCATGCATGAAGTCTATTGAGTACAGGAGCAGACTGACAACTCATGCGGCCCCCGGGCAATAGAGGATCATGGGGCCCCTGTGTCCTTGCCCAAACTCAAAAAAGCCTATGAAAAAAAGGTACCAGGGGCATCTCATGGGGCCCCCTACTGACACCGGGCCCTCGGGCAGTGCCCAAGTTTCCAAATGGTCAGTCCTCCCCTGATTGAGTATTATAATTGTATCATATAAAAAAAAAAAAAATTCTGTCTTAAACACCCAGAATACTAGTGACGCCTTCACTTTCTTATCCCCAGGCTCATAAGCCAGGGTCATTATAGTTAATATTTGGTCATGGCTGCTTAAGGCCTCATGCACACTAGGGCATTAAAAATGCCACTTTTAGCACTGCTTGATTTTTTTTTTTCTGCCTCTAAACACACTTCAATTAGGTCTGTGTGTTCATGCACACATAGACATTCACTGGTTTTCTGGTGTTTAGCGACAGGGGTGTTTAAAGGCAGAAAAAAAAAGACACTGCCAGCACGTTCAGCAGCAGCAGTATTTTGGTGAAAAAAATGCTTGATGCACCTAAATGCATGTAAATATGTCTAAACTTAAATTATTATTTGGACCAATTAAATGAATTAACACCCAAGAGCTTGACGCCTTCAGGCGAGTCTTTGACGCTGCTTTCCTCCTGCCAAGAGAAAGACTTTGAGGAGAGCTAGGCAAACACTCAGTGTGCATGACACGTAAAGCACCACCTAATGGAAGACAGAATAAGAGACCAAAATATACTTTACCTCTCTCACCAAGAGCTGTGCTGGCAAAGACACTGAGAAAATGAAGTCTTTAAATTCATAACCTGCAGACTGGACCTTATGAAAGGTCTGCATTAAAAAAAAAAAAGAAATCAAGAATTACCCTCTTTATTTTGGAGAAGGCAACACAATGAAAACATGCAACACTGGATATCTTCTATTTGTGCTATAATTAAAGTTGACATGTATTGTGAGAAATGTGAGCCGTAAAACTCTGCCCTTCTTCTGAATATGGTGTATAATGCAATGCTATGCCTTTGGCACAGGCAGCAGAGAGATATTACAATAAACTGCATACAAATCAAAGACAAAAAGTCAATATATTACAGATAAACATTCCTTGGATGTTTGGTTTTCTTTTTTCAGACTTTTTTCCTTTCATTTTCACCTGGTGATTCTGCCAATAGCACACCTCCTGTCCCTGGGTGGAGAGGCTTACTCCTACACTGTATCTATGGAGGAAGCCATGTCTATTACCCAGGCCGAGCTTCAAATATCTCTGCCTTTGTTTATCCCCATTACACTGGGGATGGGGAGATGAGTAATTCAGGTCACAGAGAGTGGCAAGGATACTGTTTTTCAGGTAAAATCAACAGGTCTTTTCTCGCTTTAGCCTGAAAAATGAAAACTAATGCAGCCACCACATCAAAAAAATGGTAATCTCCAGTAGATTAGTAAACCTTTAACAAAATGCATGATGTCCTAGATGTGTTAGCATGCGTTTTAGACAAATTGCATTTTCATTTCAGTAGACTTGAATTGCAAATATACATCCTTTTTAAAACAATATTTTTACTCCTGCCCAAGCATTGTACAGTGCTTTAAAATGCAGTAAAGCGTATAGCAATAAGTCTGGTGTAAGCAAGACCTAGACGTCAGTTACGAGTCTATTACAATATGGTGAGAGCTATATAATAGGCAACCTAAGGTGTTTGATCTTACACTTTCAGTAATAAAATATCCCCAACTAGCACTGCTGCATCTCACAGAATATCCTATGACAATACCCTTGGGGTTTTGCATTGGTTTAGTGACACCGTCTACCCCTCATGTGACTGCACTTTGGATCTTTGGTCTGGCAATAGGGATCTCAGGCCCCAAGTGATGCATCAAGGGAAGTGAGAGAGATTGTAAGCTCCAAGGAGCAGGACCCTCCTAACCAGGGGCGGACTTGACAACTCATGGGGCCCCCGGGCAATAGGGGATCATGGGGCCCCTGTGTCCTTGCCCAAACTCAAAAAAGCCTATGAAAAAGGTACCAGGGGCATCTCATGGGGCCCCCTACTGACCCCGGGCCCTCGGGCAGTGCTCGAGTTTCCAAATGGTCAGTCCGCCCCTGATCCTGACCCTCTTGTATTGAACTATATTGTTGCTGTATTGTCTCCCATTATATTGTAAAGCGCTGAGCAAACTGTTGACGCTATATAAATCCTGTATAATAATATTCATTAAATGCCAAGGCCATGGTGACACTTGTGCAGGAAGAGAGGGGAGTTGATTTCAGGGGTGTACAACTAAGCACCTTATGGTGGTTATCAGGCAGTGCTGGTCATATTATTGTTGATAATGCTATGGTCATCATGCCATAAGGATAATAAAGATTATATAAATGGATATGAGATCAGCGATCTCCACAGATATACAGATGTACCACACTGTGACTCAAACATTTACAGCAACCTTTATTAGCACAAAACTAAATATTAACTTGTAAATGCTTTTCAATTTCATAAATATCCAACATTTCTGCAAAGTTCTGCAGTTGGTATTCAAAGAAGAACTCGAAACTCTAAGTATCAATCTTTATAACCCCCCACATTCCATGTAAATTACCTTCTTAACAAACTCAGCATCACAGAGGTGTTGTAAAATCCCCAAACACAAATTACAGGTTTCTGGGGCCTCTACGCTCTGCACTTCATCAGCATAACAGCCATCAGAGTCATCTAGTCTAGACTTCTTATTTGGAGGAGCATTGTCACCGTCAGCTGCGCTTCCACCGCAAGGAGTCAAGAACTTCCGCAGCTCTTCCAACAGATCCTGCAACACAACAAATTGACCTCTTTGTTTTATTGGGTTTATTTTACTAAGTGAATTGACCTTACTTACACTATACAAGTGCCTGAAAGGACCGCAATAACAATTAGATCATCTTTTGCAATTAGTGCCATCACTGTTCGGCAACACAAATGCACAGCGCGTGTGTAAGGACAATATAAATAAAGTTACTCACCCCAAAACATTGGTTGTGTCAATCATGAGCTTAATTGACTAAATAACAACTGTTACTTATTCTGACATCTATTTTTTATAACCTTTCAACAGTAATAAAGTATAACTATAGGCAAAACCTTATATTTTTTTTTTTTGTTTTTCAGTTTTGGATAGAGCGGAGAAAGATTAGAACCCCTGTCAGATTTTTATTGCGGTCTCTGCCCCTGTAAGGGAGACTCACCCTTCTATTATGTTTACTGTTATCACCTAGAGTAAAAGTGAAAGAAAATCCTACACTTTGTGTTGTCACCAGAACACATATAAAGGGGAAATCCTCCAATGGGGACACTAGTTCTGATGACACCCCTGGATTCTCTCACTTTGGAGGTTAGGAGACAGAAAGTGAGGGGAAAGCTCTCCAAAGAAACTTAGGGGTTAGTTTACTAAAGGCAAATAGACTGTGAACTTTGCAAGGTGCAGTTGCACTCTGCAAGAGCAGTTGCTCCAGAGCTTAATAAAATGAGCAGAATCTCTGATGACTTCCATCATGCATTCATGTGCAAGCAAAAGTGCTTTTTTCAAGTTTCCTTGCACGCGATTGGGTATTCCTTGCAAAGTGAATCTTTATTTCATTTACAAAGTTCTGGAGCAATTGCACTTGCAGAGTGCAACTGCGCCTTGTATGGTGCACAGTCTATTTGCCTTTAGGAAACCAATCCCATAGATGGGAAAAAAAAAAAAACCTGACAGGCATTATGGGGTTATAACTCTCTCTTACTCTATCCATTGTACTACTTAGTGCAGTTTTCCCTGTTTGGTAATTTATTTGTACTGCTCCTCAACTTCATGTATCTGTGCCTAGCAGCTACTGCAAGACCTACCCAACATTTGACAAACAAAATATGGGCAGCACAGTGGCTCAATGGTTAGCACTTCCGCCTGGCAGTACTAGGGTAGTTGGTTCGAATCCCAACCATGGCATCACCTGCCTGGAGTTTGCATGTTCTCCATGTGCCTGCGTGGGTTTCCTCCAGGTACTCCAGTTTCCTCCCAGACTCCAAAGACATGCTGGTAGGTTCAATGGATCCTGTCTAAATTGGCCCTAGAATGTGCATGTATGAATGTGAGTTAGGGACCTTAGATGGTACGCCCCTTGAGGGTTAGGGACTGATGTGAATGTACAATACTATATGTAAAACGCTGCGTAAATTGATGGCGCTATATAAGTAACTGAAATAAAAAAATAAAATATGATAAATTATTTTTGCTATCAATTGAGCAAGAGGAATTGTTCAGTATCCTTTCAATTCTATGCAACATAAAACTGCCAGGGGTGGCACATTTTACCTACACATTTTTGACTGACTGTAATGTTCTATATGATAAATGGTTCCAGGTTACGTCCCTGCCAGGTCCTCATTATTGTGGTCCCTATACAGTAGGTGCTTTTTGTTGGTAGAATAATGTACTGGGCAAATACAGTTCATCTACTCTGGGTCCTAGCTAGCAAAGAAGGGAGACAATCTGCTCTGCTTTTCTAAAAATCAGTTCTAAGCGAACTGGCACAGCCTGGGCAAAGCATCTATCAGCCTCTGCATGTCTCGTGTTGTCGGAACATCTGATTTTTTTTTTTAGGGATAATAAATCTAGCCAGTTGAATGGTGCAGGAGAGGCGCAGCACAGAACGACTGGCCAAGATGGCAGAAGTATACCTGGCTTTGCATCAGAAACTTTTGATCATAAGGCTTTTTCTGTGTATTTCATATTTAGTGTTCATGAATATGTGTTCTACATTTGACATGAGTTTGAAATACATGTCTAAAGCATGTCCACAAATTCCTATTTATTCAAAAGAATACTGCAGTTCAAAGGCTGTGTTTGACCTGTTTTGCATTGCACTTTGAGGTGTATTTGGATTGCAGGTAAAGCTATGCAAATGAAAGAATATGCAACCAGAACATTTCACATTCATGATATGTGCCTGCTGTATCATGTACTTGTATCAAAAAGTATCCTGTTCTCTTTGTATTGCTTCCCTTGTGTGAAATCCATGGTGTTCCTGCCAGCCCCTCTGCTCTCTTGTTAAAAAAACACTGACCACACTAGGTATGAGAGCACAGTGTGGTCAGCTCTCTAACTGTGCTGGGAACTCAGTCTGCTCTCCTTCAATGATCAGACTTGTCCTGACACCCCCCCCCCTCCCCCAAACAGCCTTTCACTGGGAAGATCAACGTATGCTCTCTTTCTCTTCCCCTGCTCTTATGTACCTGAGAACAGAGGGTATGAAAAAGAGGGGAAAAAAGGTGTATATCATGTTTTTTATATCTATACACAAATGTTTTGCCTTTCATTCCTATTTTAAACTGAATGGGTTGTTTTACAAGATGAGGGATTACAATCACTTTAATCTGAAGAAGTAAGAAGTGACTAAAAACATTGGGAGGAGTCAGTGACATCAGCATGTGCGTCAGGTATGCGCCTCGCTCTCAGGAAGACCAGGAAAAGAGGAGGACTGAACACATTAGCTGGCACAGAACCAAACTTTGCTTTTATCCACTTTTATTATAAATTGCTTACACTATGGAGATTCTCTTTTTCTCTTTTTAATGTATTAATGTGGAGTATGGGTGGTTGAGCATTTCTGAGGAGGACAGAGCGGCTGAAGATTTACATTGGCCTAAATGGGGAAAACTGCTGTAAGACCTTTTGTAATTTAAAGGTCAATAAAATCTGGTTGTTATTGAACACAGGTATTAAGTATGATTTTTTTTATTGCCTATTAGTTTTATTGTTCACAGGTTTATGAGATGACTTATTTTTTAAGCACTGTGCATTATTTATGTAAATTAACGTGAATCACACACAACCTATTCTTGTCAAATGCTGCATATTGCTTTCAAATGCATGAGCTTGAGCAGCACTGTGTTCAAATACAAGGATGTGTTTGGCAAGAACGTCCACCAGAGCCCATAATTAGGTTCAAGAACGGAGCCTCTCCCACTTAACCCTGTTTACTCCGAATTTACAACGTACTCATATTTTTTTATTGTATTATTTATTTTTTTAAGCATCCACTATTGTGTATTCCCTTCTATTTTAGCAGATTGTAAACTCTAAAAAGCAGGGCCCCTGGTTTCCTCTTGTACTAAATTGTATTGTAACTGCAATGTCTACCTTCATTTTGTAAAGCGCTGCGCAAACTGTTGGGGCTATGTAAATCCTGTATAATAATAATAATAATAATAATTTGTGATTAGTAAAATAGGGAAACCTGGTATGGAAGGCGGTACGGAGTTGGGAACCCAACACAGCATAAGCGAAGGACACATCTTGGACAGGTCCCTGAGGAGAACAAGATTTTAGCAACCGGCCTATACTTTTCTTCTATCAGAAGCATGCTGTATACACCTGGAAAACACAACAAACAATTATTGAGTTTTTACATAGCATAACAGAGAAAAATAAAATTACTAATATCCCTCATAAAACAACAAAGTTGATTGGACAGCGCTTCACAGTACAGATGGATAATGATCCAAAACACACTGCAAAAGCAACCCAGGAGCTTCTGAAGGTAAAGAAGTGGAATATTCTGCAATGGCCGAGTCAATCCCTGATCTCAACCCAATTGAGCATGCATTTCACTTGCTGAAGGCAAAACTAAAAGGCAGAAAGACTGACAAACAAAGAACAACTGAAGACAGCTGCAGTTAGAGCCTGGCAAAGCATCAGAGAGGAGGAAACCCAGTCTTTGGTAATGTCCATGGGTTCTAGACTTCAGGCAGTCATCGCCAGTAAAGGATTCTCAACAAAATATTTAAAAATGAACATTTTATTTATGATTATATTCAACTGTCCAATTACTTTTGGTCCCTTGAAAAAGGGGAGATGGCTACTCTTAAGAGCTGTAATTCCTAAATCCTTCCTCCAATTTAGATGGACTCAAATTAAACCTGAGAGTGCACTTTCCGCCCATATCCATTATATAACTATAGCTTGAATATGTTTTGGTAAATACCTGAAAAAAACTAAAATTGTGCCTGTGTCCAAATATATATGGATCTAACTGTATTTGTACATGGGGATTATGGGTGGAATATCATGGTTAAACATGTCTAGTAACACATTTGACCCATTTCTGATAAGAATTGTTTTTTTTTTTTCTACATGGGGATTATGGGTATATTATTGTGGTTTAACATGTCTAGGAGCACATTTGACTTTTTTTCTAATATGAATATGAGAATGTTTTTTTTTTCTATATGGGTGCATTATTGTGGGTTCACATGCCAAGGACCATATTTAACCTGTCTCTCATAAAAATATGGGTATAGTTGTTTTTCTACATGGGGATTATGGATGTAATATAATGGTTAAACATGCCTAGGAACACATTTTTACCGGTTTATGATAATAATATTAGAATAGTTATTTTTGTCTACATGGGGATTATGGGTGGATGATTGTGGATACACATGCCAAAAGACCATATTTGACCAGTTTCCCATAACAATATCGGTATAGTTCTTTTTCTACATGAGGAACATGGGTGGAATATCATAATTAAACATTCCGAGGAACACATTTGACCGGTTTCTGATATGAATATGAGAATAGTTATATTTCTACATGGGGATTATGGGTGGAATATCATGTTTAAACATGCCAAGCAACACATTTCACTTGTTTCTGATAAGAATATGAGAATAGTTATTTTCTTACATGGGGATTATGGGTGGATTTTTGTGAATACACATGCCATGGACGATATTTGACCTATTTTTGAAATGATTATGGGTATAGTTATTTTTCTAAACAATATGGTAGTGTGACAAGAGCACCCCTACCTGGAGAAAGTAGGTTCCTAAATGATCCACGCGGAGTAATATGATTCAAAAGAATTTCCAACAATACTTTATTTGATCACATAGATCATAAGGAGGTTAAACATGAGCACGGTGAACATGTCAAACAAATAAAATCATGTTAAAAAGCACTTGGCGTCTTCATTTTAGGGTCATCTTAGCAAATAGAGTACCATATAAGGCAATGTAGGGTAATAGTAAGATAATTATCCTAGATTTCCATGAGTTTCCAACTTGTATTAGAGTGAGCCATGTATTCAGCAGATATGTTCCCAATGTACGTCAGGAGCCTCCTGGTATGTGAAAGCTGGAACACAGAAATACATAATGTATGTATAAAAATATAGGAGCCGAATCACATCTAAAACTCACCAGGCCTCCCTCTACAATAGTCAATGGATACTTCTATTACCTTCTCAATAATGAGGCTATCAAACCCGCTTCTCAAATGTGGGGACTTCCTGGGTAGCCACCCCAAGTGAAACAAGGTCCACAGTACCAAATGATTCTAAGGATATATATAAAAAATGAATATATAGATCACAGGCATCAAGTAAACCATGAAAACAAAAAACACAATGTGGATATATTACCATCAATAAAGATCAAGAGGACTCCCGTCGACTTGAAATAGGATCAGGTCCTTGATGCTTGTTCAAAAGGTGCATATGGGGGTGGAGAGCCAGGTAGTCACAGTACGTAGATTCCAAACATATGTAATATGTATTAGCAGGCCGTAAGTACCTGAGTCTATATACCCAATGAAGGGTTTCCAAAAATTACTCAAATTGAGAAAAATGTTGCGGTTTCATAAGGATATGGCTATGTCACAGCATATAATGCCTGAATAGGATAGCGTATATATACATGTATATTATCCTCCTAAGAGGATTTTCAAAAAATTCCCCGAGTATACAGGGTAAATTAGGCCCATATGACATGCCTTCTTAACACCATTAATGCTCTATAAACTAAACAGCTGTAAGCTTAAATAACTTGCCACCGGTGGAAGGTATGTTCCCCTAGGGGATTGCCGTTTGCGAACCGCTGTAATAGTAGCCTTATGGTAGTTTTCAGAGGGCCTTGTGCCTTCCTAGCAGGGAGCTGTGACACTGCCGTTCCTTCCCGCCTCATGGGCGCCGCACCCTATGAAGACGCCGAGCGTAGTGACGTCAATACGTTGACGCGTTTCGTCCGCCAATCACCGCAGACTTCGTCAGAACTGGGAGGGGACCTCAATCCTTCGCCTTATATGGTGCACTAATTGCATACCAAAGAGTCTCCACCTCGCCATCTTGTGTTGAAAGAGTATCACTACATTGAAAATATCCAAAGTGAATTAAAACACATATATTAAATTTAAAATGACTGCTGGATATAAAGAGGAGGAACCCTATTGCTATAAATCAGATCATCTCCAAAGAAGATAGCGAAAAAGAATTATTATAATCATAATTATTGTTCAAACAGAGAGACATCAAGACCAGGCTCAATCACCTAATTTCAGTATTAGTCTAATTGTAGGAATTTAAGTATGTAGTGAGAATAAGAAGAATCACACAATCAAATTCATACTTTGTCCAGATAGATCCATGTTTCATTCATATATATAGTACCCCAATGCAGGTTATAACTCAAGGTATGTTAGAGGTTCCAATAAATTTAATTCAAAAAAAATTTTTAATTCAAAAAAACTCCAAAATTGAGTTCTGTATTTAGTCCATATGGGACAAGTGCACCCAGGGTATAAATCCAGAATTTTTCTTTTTGTAGGAGGACTTTATCGAAGTCCCCCCGACGAGCTGAAATATTCAGCAGGAAAATCCCTTTCACTTGCAAACCTTCTGTTTTACCCCCGTGTACTTCTTTAAAGTGTTGTGCCAATGGGTTCTCTTTTTCTCCCTTTCTTACATTCCTATTTTCATTTCTGATATCTCTCAGATGTTCACCAATCCTAGTCCTGAGGTTCCTTTTCGTTTTTCCTATATACATCTTCTTGCATGGACATTCTATCATGTATATTATTTTACTGCTAGAGCAATTAATAAAGCTTCGTATCTGAAATACCTTAGATTTATCCTTATTAAAGAACTGATTGGACTTATGTACAAATGGACAAATCTGGCAATGGCCACATGGGAACATCCCACACAGGCCGGTCCTCCTAGTTAACCAATTTCTTTGTGGTGCCCTCTGAAATTCTGACTGTACTAATATATCATTTAGGTTCCGAGCTCTTTTTTGCTACCATTTGGGGGCTCTCCCCCCTACCACTCTCGCTATCTGCGGATTTTGAGTTAGTAAGTACCAGTGGGAGTCCAGGGCCTTCTTAACTTCACCCCATTGTTGTCCAAATTTAGTTATGAATCTTACTGGTTGATTTACCGAATTCGCCCCTGCCTCTGATTTTGATTTATTTATAAGTTCCTCTCTTGTTCTACCAAGGGCTCTTCTTTTTGCTCTTCTTAGGGTTCTATGTGAGTAGCCTCTTTCTCTAAACCTCTTATAGAGCTGAATGGATTCATTTCTATATTCTACTTCTTCTGTGCAGTTCCTTTTTATTCTCTGAAACTGACCAATGGGTATCCCCTGTTTTAAACTCCTTGGATGATAGCTATTAGCATGTAGAAGTGTATTGGCCGCTGTTTCCTTTCTAAACGTTTAGTGACTAATTTATTTCCGTAGATAGAGATTGATAGATCCAGGAATGTTATTACCTCTCTATCTACTGTGTAGGTAAGTTTGATATTCCTATCATTCTCATTTAAGAATTCCATAAACTTTTTAGCTCATCTATACCTCCATCCCAAACCATCAGGACATCATCAATGTATCGCAACCATTTTATTGCATATTGCTTATAGGGAGTGGAGGGATATACCAACTCCTCCTCCCATAGGCCTAAATGTAAGCATGCAAATGCCGGGGCCCAGGGTGCTCCCATGGAGGTACCACATATTTGCTGATAGAAGGAACCCAAAAACTGAAAACAGTTATGGGTCAACATAAACTCCAACAAATCCAATATAAATTCATTTTGAGCCTCCATTTCAGGAAAATATGTCTCCAGAAAGTGGGCCACAGCTCTCCGTCCCCAGATGTGTGGAATAGAGGTATATAGTGATTCCACATCAATACCCACTAAAAGTGCACCCTTAGGTACTTTTACATTTAGAATCTTTTTCAATACGTCTCCCGTATCCCTTACATAGGATCTGAGTTCCAAGACCAGATCTTTGATTAGATCGTCTACAAATTTACCTATTGTTTCCAGAGGACCACCAATAGCCGATACTATAGGGCGTCCCGGTGGTTGAGTGGGATTTTTGTGTATTTTTGGGATTACATAAAAGGTGGGGATGTTATATGTATCAACCGTCAGCATGTCACATTCCTGTTTGGTTAATAAGTTTGCTTCACGTGCCAGTTCCACTTTTTTATTTAGAGCAACCACGAGTTTTGGGAAAGGATTATTATGTAGTTTACGATATGTATCCGGGCTCTTCAACTGTCTAAGTACCTCCTTTTCATA